CTCGTATGTGCGTAGTGCACATGCGCTTGTCTGAAGCAACCCCTGACCTAGGTACCCAAGTACTGCTCACCCACAGAACCTGTGGCTGGAGGAGACCACAGGATGCTATGCCAGGGCCAGTGACAGTGAGTAGGGAACTGGTGTCCCTCCGCAGGCGCATGTACGGTACCAGGAGGGTGAATGAACAACAGGTGGCCTTATCCAAAGGAAACAGGCCACCAAAGATTGAATAGGCCACTGGTTTTCAAGCACCCCCAAGTTCTTTAAAAATAGAAAGGATGTGCTGGTTTTAAATCCCCACAAACCTTTGTTAGGCAAGGTGCTATTATGGACCCATGTGGGACAGAGAGAACTTGCTCAGAAACAATAAAACTGCATCTTTTTTTTTTTTTTTTTTTTTCTTCATGGTACTGGGAATTGAACTCAGGACCCTGCACTTGCCAGGCAAGCGCTTATTCTACTGAGCTATCTCTCTGCATCTTTAGGGCAGCTTGATTGACCTGACTGATGTCACCACTGCTGTTTTCACTGTGGTCCTCCTTTAGCCAAGTAGGAAGGAAAAAAGCAAAGTCTGAGTCCAGTGGCCCCACCCTCTGGCAGGATCAAAAATTCCTTTTGTCCTTGAATCTCCAAGTGATTTTTTGTCCTTCACCACTATCCTCCCCTCAGCTCATTCCTAAAATCTGTTCTTAAGAAAGGCTTTGCTATTAGTCATTTACACATGTGAATGAATAAACATCTAATCAATCTCTCAGGACCATTTGGACTTTTTGTTTTTGGTACCAGGAATCGAACTCAGGACCTCAGACTTGCCAGGCATGTGCTGTGCCATTGAGCTCTATCCTCAGCCTCCCATTTGTACTTTAAATGAAACATATGGCTTTGTCCTTCTTGCCTACTAACCCCAAAAGAGAAGATGGAAAAAAAAATTAAAAAAAAAAAAAAAGAGAAGATGGAACTTGCTGAAATCAGTCAGCAACCTGAAACTCTCAATGGTCCACACTGCCTCACCACTGCATTTTCCTATCCAGTCTAAGTCTGAGCCTCTTTTGCTGACCTTCTCCAATTACCCTTGACTGTGGCAGGAAACTTCTTTTTTTTTTTTTTTTTTTTTTGGTGGAACCAGGGATTGAACTCAGGTCCTTGCGCTTGCCAGGGAAGCACTTATTCCACTGAGCCATCTCCCCGGCCCCAATTAGGAAACTTCTTACTCCTTTTGGGCCGCTTATTCACTCAGTGAACTTGTCCTGAGCGCCCACCACAGCTGGGATACATGGACATAAAAGAGAATTGAGGCCCTGCCCTCAGGAAACTTGCAGTTGGATATTTATTTATTTATTTGATATAGAGTCTTGCTATGCAGCTCAGACTCGCAGTGATCCTCCTGGCTCAGCCTCCCCAGCACTGGGATTACAAGTATGCGCCACCATGCCCGGCTGCAGGGCTGGCACGGTGTGCCCGGGGTTTTGGATCCAGCACAGCATGCAGTACCAGGGATTGAACTTGGGTCCTTGAATTTGCCTGGCAGGCGCTTAGACAAGCCAAGCTATCTCCCCAGCCCCCTCACACTTGGATTCTCATGCAGGAAGCAGCAACCTCATCACTGGATTCTTAACACAAGCAAAGCAAGTGCAGTGCAGCCCAGGGCCTGGGATCAAGGCTGTAGTAGATGCTGCTTTCCTTCAGTCCCAGGACACCACTGTGCAGCACTGGAGATTTTGTGGGGGGGAAAAAAACAAAACACAAAACCCTCCCAGGTGGACAAGGGCACCAGCAGAGTGGGTGAAGATGGTGGCTTCTATCTTGCTGCAGAATGCTGTGGTTTGTTCTCGATGTGCCAAAGTGTCAGGTCAGAGGGGCCCGCGGAGGAGAGGGGCTTATTCTAACCAGATCAGGGAGGGCTAGAGGCAGCCCAGGCCCAGGACTGTCTCCATGGTGCTTGGACTCAGACAGTTTGGAAACAAACAGAAATGGGGTGGGGGTGAAAAACGGCAAAACAAACAAAGGAGAGATGGAAAATTGATGGGGGGGGGCTGCATGAGGGCTGGGGAGGGGCTGAGAATCGCTATGGCAACAGCAGCAAACCTCCCAGGCTGAGCAGTGGAAGGGCTCAGATGCGCCAGTGGGGCGCGCTAAAGAAAAATATGAGTCGGGCTCTTGAAATCACCAGCTCCCCATCCCCTCCCACTTGCAGGCAGTGCTTAATGAAAGGTATTCATCAGAAATGACACTGAATCATGTCACCTGCTCCATCTCTCTCTTCAATATGTGTACATTTAGCTCAAACCCTGTAGAGTAAAATCCCCATCTCTGGTGGTTCTGAGGATTCGGGAACCCCCTTGGGGAACCCCCTTCCTAGCAGCACTCGCCTCAGTCCCACTCGCCCCCTCGCCCAAAGCTGCCCTCCCCCCGCACCCCATGGCATCAGTGACACAGGTCGAGGGGGTTACTTTCACGCTTCTGACTTTTACAGACCCCAAGAGAAGGTAGCTCCGACTGTACCTCCAGCTGGTCTCCTCCACCACCAGCTGCCTGGTGACCAACCTGGTCCCAGGACACCTCTGTCACTGAAGAGACAGCTTTCTCCCCACTGACACTGATGGAGGGTCTGCTGTGAGCCCTGCCCTTCCCTGGGGTGGATGGGCCTACGGGACCTGTCTTAGATTTGGAGTTGGTGTGATACGGAGCCTCAGTCTTCCTTCCTCCTCCCCCTCCCCTTCCTCCCCCC